TTATAAATATGTTCTATAAATCTTCAAATATTAAATATATTTATTTAATTGCAAGTTAATATGTAAAATTTTTGTGTAATTAAATTTTAATTCAAATGTATCAAGTTGGTGTATCATGCTTAATGAGATGACCAATACTTGTGAATTCGCGATCTAAGAGTCTTTCGAGTAATGAATTATCATCATCGACAGATCCCACCCAAAAATCAAATTCATGCAGTCACTGTGGTCAGACGGGTTGTACAATTACCGAAACCACCACTTCTATAGTTATTAAAATTTCTACTAATATCGAAGTGGATGCTAATGGAAATAGTAAAATTTCATCAAGAATTATTACTGATTTGCCTCCTAAACAGTCTACTATCCGGTCTTCATGCCCTACTAAAGTTAATGTGCAAGTTGATGAAACACGGTCCGGACTAAATTCTATATTCACAAATATTCGTACAATTGATCAAAGAAATTTAACAGGCTCTACTGAGCCTACCACTAACGAACAAAGTAAGCCCAACATGATGATCTTTGCTAATTCAGTAAGTCTTGAACAGTATCAAAAGAATGAAGATAAGGTGGCTGAGTTAACGTTAATGCCAAATTCTAAACAAGAACAAAGCTTTATACAAAATCAAGAATTAACAAGTTTTGGGTCAAATGGGGAAACAAGCAAGACATCAGAGTTGATTTTGGATCTTGAACAGGATCATATTCCAATAAATGGTACGGTATCAACAAGTCCTGTACCAAATCAAGTATCGGAAATAGAGCCTATTTCGGACGTTTTTCATAGTGAATTACATTCTAATGTAACAGAAAGCTCTTCAGACATTGACACACAAAATGGTCAGATGAGGAATAGATTCTATAGGTTTCTTCCGGATGATTTTGCGAGTATACGACAAGCGCGTCTTCCAAGAAAAAAATCTTCAATGTCTAAAGGTGTTTAGACCACAAGAAAGTAATGCTTCGGTGCAATTAAATTTATTTTGGGTTGAAAGGTATATAGTATCAAATAATTTACAATCTAGGATAATGGTAAAATATTTTTATTCAAGAATATTGGTGTGCTTAATGAGTTGATAATAAATTGTGAATACCGTATGTTACCGAATAGAAGCAACCAAAATGTTGCAAAAAAAATGAGAACTTCGAGCCAAAATGAAGGGTTGCTTTTATTCGAGTACAATTTTATTAGTAAAACATAATAACTGTAGTCAAATTTTTGGCTCGGTAATATACGGTACGTAAAAAAGCATAACGATAAAATTTTAGGAAGTTGTGTTAAATAAATTCAATATATTTA